AATCACTTGATTCCCTGAATATCAGATTCGTAATCAACGTGATTTTCGAAATATGACAACATAGCATTTTCGTTAAAAAGTTCTGGAACGGTCCCATATTTCAGAAACGGCTCAGAGAAAATTTATGAAAACTCCGACAGGATGGTTGTTGATGATGCCCGATTCAATGGTGATATCGGCAATGTTGCCAAATCAACAGTTTTTCAGATATTTAGAGTAACTAAATTTTTTTCGAATGGAATACCCTATTTGTTTTCATTGCAATATATTCAGAGATGCCTCATTACTCATGTCTCCAAATATCAGATTTCAAATTGGAGTGGTTCTCGAAATATGACAACATGGCATTGTCGTTCAAAACTCTGTGAACATTCTAATATTTTCAATACGGTTCAAGGAAAATCCATGAAATTTCATACAAGATGGTTTCTGATGATGCCCGATTCAAAGGTGATGTCGGCAATGTTGCCAAATCAATAGTTTCTCAGACAATGGGGGTAATTACATTTTTTCAAATGGAATACCCTATTCGTTTTCATTGCAATACATTCAGCGACGCCTCATCACTTATGTTCTCATATTTAAAAAACAACACTTATTTAAAATTTGATATTTGAAGACATGAGTAATGAGGCGTCGCTGAATATATTGCTATGAAAACAAATAGTGTATTACATTTGAAAAAATCTAATTACCCTCAATATCTGGAAAACTATTGATTTGGCAAGATTGCCGATATCACCATTGAATCGGGCATCATCAGAAACCATCTTGTATAAAATTTCATGAATCTTCCTTGAACCGTATTGAAAATATTAGAAGGTTCCCAGACTTTTGAACGAAAATGCCATGTTGTCATATTTCGAAAACCACTTCAATTCAGAATCGGATATTTGGAGACATAAGTAATGAGGCGTCGCTCAATGTATTGCAATGAAAACAAATAAGGTATTCCATTTGAAAAAATCGAGTTACTCTGAATATCTGAAAAACTGTTGATTTGGCAACATTGCCAATATCACCATTGAATCGGGCATCATCAACAATTATCCTGTCGAAGTTTTCATAAATTTTCTCTGAGCCGTTTCTGAAATATGCGACCGTTCCAGAACTTTTTAACGAAAATGCTATGTTGTCATATTTCGAGAATCACGTTAATTACGAATCTGATACTCAGGGACTCAAGTAATCAGGAGGCGCCTAAGCAATTGCAATAAAAATAAATGGGGTATTCTATTTGAAAAAATGAAGTTACTCCTAATATCTGAAAAACTTTAAACTTGGCAACATTGCCGATACCACCATTGAATCGGATATCATTAATAATCACCCTGTAGATAATTTCGTGGATTTTTCTAAAGCCGTTCCTGTAATATGAGACCGTTCCGATACTTTTGAAAGACACTGTATAAATGAAGAACACAGGGGAAAAAGGGGAAATGTCACAATATAGTAGAAATTGACTTGCAATAACGCAATATAGTCAGCCATAATATGATCGTTCGAAAATACGTTTACATGAAAAAAACGCGGAAAATCCACTTCAAAAATGTCAAGAGAGGGAAACGTCGAAGCTTATAGTGCTTGTTTGAATACAGATTCCATTGTGATAATGATAGGTTGTTCTCACGCTGTCAAGGTCGAAGTGAACTCTCAGGTAAAGAGTTGTTCGACATTTTTCTAGGTTGAAGACAAAAAGGCATGTTGACTGTACTTCTCGAGTACGTCTGAGCGATGGGAATCAAATAAGGATATTGCTACATGATGATTCCTGATCACATCGCGTGGAATTTATAGAAAATGATCAAATCAAAAAGATGCTAGCTGTACTATATGACAACTTACCACTCATTAGGTAGGCCGGCAAGAACGGAGAAATGTACCAGAGCAGATAATTGCGAGAGAACAATCCAGTTTCTTGAGAATTCATTTGGACATTCTCCATTATTTGTCCTTTGAAACTTTGGACTCATTTTTTGTTTTCGATGATGTTTTCATTCGAATATAATTATTATTTTTTTTTTTTCGAAGAATTTATTTCTGACAACAAGGCCTAAATACAACAGAATAATAGATAACAATGTTTATAAAACTAAAATCCTTAACAATTCAAATTCAATATGTGCCTACTCATCTACACTGTTTCTACTTCTATAATACTTCATGAGGTTATGATATACTACCTTCTCACTTCCTTCAAATACAGTTTTTGGAATAAGATTATACATTTTTATGCTTTGGTAAATAGGAGAATTTTGACCTTTTTTTGTTCGTAATAGTTTGTTTCTGTACATATCTGTTGATCTCAAGTTATAGCTGTGATAGTCTTTAGTTTGCTTCAGTTCTACACTTGTTTTCATAAGTTTATTCTTGATTTTATATATAAGTTTAGCCTGCTCAAGATTTTTCCGTTGTTCAACTTTCAGGAATGTATAGTCTTTATACAATGTGTCACTTGGTGTAAGATAGTTTCTAGAGAATATAGTTTTTATTGATTTGTTTTGCAGTCTTTGTAGTTTATTCATTATATCCACACTGGCATTTCCATAACATGGGACCAAATATCTCAAATGAGGTTCAATAAAGCTATTGTATAAGAGATATCTCGAGTTTTTGTTGAGCATATGATTACACCTTCTTATCCTAGCATTGGAGCCACTTTTTCAACAATACTGTTTACATGCACATCCCATAGTAAATTTGCAGATATTATCAGTCCTAGATATTTATATTCTTCAACTTTCTTAATTACAGAGTCATTTATCTTTATTTGTGGATTTATTTGTTTCTTTCCTACTTGTTGCAATACCATGTAGACAGTTTTTTCAACGTTTAAACTTAGTTTATTGTAACACAGCCAGTCATAGTAACGTTTGAGCTCACTATTTACATTTTCTTCAAGATATTTTTCATGCATACCTGAGAAAACTAATACTGTGTCATCACAGAATTTGAAATACTTTGCTTTCAGACCTGCATACTTCAGACTTTGCACATGTAATAAGTACTGGAGGGGCCCTAACACTGATCCTTGTGCAACTCCTACACTAACACTTGTCTGGTGACTCACTTTACCGTTGACATTGGTCTGCTGTTTTCTTCCTGTGGAGTATGATTTCAAAAGATCCAGGCATTTTCCCCTGAATCCCATTTTTTGTAGCTTTTCCATAAGTAGTGAAATATCGACAGTATCAAAAGCTTTTTGAAGATCTATGAATGTAGCGACAACATATCTGTTTTTATCCAACTCATTTGTTATGTATTCCAGCAGGTCCACTGTTGCTCCTAGGGTGCTACTATTTTTTTGAAATCCATATTGGTTACTGTCATATTTGAATGTGTTATCAATAAACTTGACTAGTCTTTTTTTTATTACTTTCTCCAAGATTTTACTGAAGGTACTTAATAGTGATATAGGCCTATAGTTATGTGCATTATCATGATTTCCTTTTTTGTATACAGGAATAATTTTTGCAATTTTAAGTTCCTCTGGAAAACAGCCATTTTCCAGCACATCATTTATTAGCTTCACAATCTTAGGACCGATGATGTCCAATAGAGTTACTAAGTCCTTTTTTGTTACCCCATCAAGTCCTGGCGCACAGTGGTTTTTCATGTCTTTTATTATATCTTTTATTTCTGCTAAATCAGTGTTTCCTAGGCTTATACTCTCTTCTACTTCTTCTTCTTGGAATATTAATCCAGGTGTCTGTTTTATTTTGGTAGCCAGTGATTGCCCAATGGTTGTGAAGTGCCTATTCATCTCCTCTGCAATACTCTGGTCATCATTAAATGTGTTTCCATGTTCATCTACAAGTTTGGGTATTTTCTTGTTTTCATGGTGGCTTTTACTGCACAGTTCATTGATTACTTTCCATGTTTTCCTGCAGTCTCCTTGAGTCTCCTGAAATTTTTTCTCTGCATACTGTTTTTGCAGTTTTATTCTTAGTTTGTTCAGTTCATTTTTTGACTTTTTGAATTCATTTTCTGTATTTTCATTTTGTATTTTTTTCCACCTTACATATAGTCTGTCTCTCTCTTTCATCTTTCGTATGTATTCATTTGTAATCCAGTAATTATTATTTCTTATTCTTATTGTTGATTCCTTAGTGCAATTTTTTTTTGTGTCTTCCATCATTTTTGATAGATTCTTGAAAGAAGTGCAATCCTCTTTTTCAATCTTGTCGGCAATTTGATTTCTCCATTTATGTATATCTAGGTAGGTTTTTGTAATATTTTGTTTCTTATACGTCATGAAGGATTTTTTTGTTTCTATGTGTATAATTTTATGATCTGAAATTTTATGATCTTCTAATTTCATGGTGCATTTTATGTTTTTATTGGTGATCAAGTGGTCTAGTATGGATGCACTATTTTTTGTGGTTCTTGTAGCGCTTTGTTGGTTAAAAGTGTTCTGAAATTGGAATCCATTCATTGCCACCACTTGTTTATATGAATTTATAGCTACAGAGGATTTCAGCAGGTCCAGGTTAATATCTCCCACTAAAATACATGGACTTTTTTGCTTTTCCAGAAGTTTATCTATTTCTGGTATGAAAATATTGCATTTGTTTTTTGGTGGTCTATATACAGAGAATATTGTTAGGTTTGGTTGGGGTAAGTATATTGATATTATATTGCAATCGTCGATAGCTATCTTGTATTTATTGTTTAGTACATATTTCAGCTCATTTCTTACATATATGCTTGTTCCTCTACCTCTAGATTTTCGGCAATCATGTACTGCTGTATATGAAGGTAGGTTGAAGAAGTTGGTTTCATTTGAGTACAGCCAGGTTTCAGTAAGAATTATTATATGTATAGTTTTCTGGCTAGCTAGTATTATATCACAGAGATCATTGGTTTTGTTTCTTAAACTTCTTATATTAATATAGAGTAATTTCAAGTTTTCAGTCGCCATTTCAATAGTTTATTTACTATATACTCCACTTATTACTAAGATTTTTCCAATTATCACATCTGCTCTAGGTCTGTCTCACTTGTGATTCTTATTGGTCGATCGTTCTCATTCTTCTTCAAATAGATTTTTCCATTTGAGACATATGCTTTGTTATATTTCTTTTCTTTTTTTAACTCCCTTGCTTTTTTGAAAAGAAGTTGGTTTTGTCTTGTAAGATCTTCATTAAAATAAATACTTTTATTTCCTCCAGACAAACCACATTCATTCAGTTTGATTCCTTTAAGATCCCTAATTTTTGACATCAGTGTATTTTTTTCCTCCATATTTTTTAGTTTCAGTAGAATGGGTGCATCTTCATTGGAATTCAGCCGAAAGGTTTCCAGAACATCACCATCATTAATCTGCACTTTCATGGCTTTGAAAAGTTTTTTCATGGTTTCGCTGACTTCTTCTTCTTGCTTGGGTATTCCAGATACAACTATGTTCTTCATTTTATCCTTTTGTTCAATATGATTCAGCCTCTCTTCCATCGTTGGTACTTCTTTTTTCAGTTTTCGATTTTCGTCCTTGAGTTCCTTGATTTCTACAAGAGACTTTTTTATTTGTTCATTCTTATCACTAGTTGTTCAAACTCATTGCTCATTATACTGCAATGAATGAATCCAAGTAGTAATACAAAGCGGATTGGTCGCCAGAGCCTCAATAAAATGCCGCTAGTTAGCGTTGGCGCTGGTGTCGCTGGTGTCGCTGGTGGCGCGAAGTTCAAATTTGCAGATGGCGGCGGCGCTGATGGCGGTAAATTTGAAATTGTGAGGTTATGACATCTTAATCATGATGAATTTTTAAATAAATAAATTAAAAAAAGCTGTCACCGCCGGTGGGGGAAATTGAACCAGGGACCTTTGCATTATGAGGCAGCGTATATACGCACTGCGGTATTCCGACCTCCGTGATATTTCAATTATTTAAATGCTATTCAAACGGGATATCCATAGCTGGCGCGCGCGCGCTTATCTTTGCAACGGATCCATCGAGGTAGAGTGAAGCGAGAGATGCATTCCAGAGATAAGAAACTTCGAGTCGAAAATAATTTCCATCGCAGGCGCGCGCGCGCTTATCTTTGCAACGGATCTATCGAGGTACAGTGAAGCGAGAGATGCATTCCAGAGATAAGAAACTTCGAGTTGAAAATAATATCCATCGCTGGCGCGCGCGCTTATCTTTGCAACGGATCTATCGAGGTAGAGAGTAAGGCGGCTCGAGCGCGCGGTGCTGCAACGTTGTCGGACGTATGTGTTTGGATGTTAATATTGTTACATTATTGTGTGTGGCAACGCTGTCTCGCTTCATGGTGTTCGAAGATCTAGCAAAGCGAGAGATCCCTTAGAATGATAAGCGCGCGCGCGCTCGTATTGGAAACAAATACTTGAATTAATTATTTATTTTATAGTGGGTGACGTCATGCTGTTGGTTTTTTTCTTCTGGTAAAATGACATCACGTGTGGGTACTCTCAAAATAGGATTTTTTATGGACAATTCTCGGAAATGCCAATATATGCCTATATGCAAAGTCGCATGGTTTGAGGGATATCGTTCTACCATTGACATATGTCATTAATGGTACATAAATGCGAAATGAAACTACTACTACTACTACGAGGAAAATTATTGATAGATAATCAATTTTTTTTATTTCACAGTAAAGCTTTTTTACAAAAATAGCATGATTCTTGAGAAGATGGCGGGCCATCCCAGTGAGTAGTCCAATCAGGTCGGTTATAATGGACGAAGCACGGCAGCTTGATTTGGAGGTTGAAGTTGCCACGATATTCTTGAGGAAGTTTGTGCCACACAGCCAATAGCCCACAAGCATTAGCATATTCAATGAGGCATTCCACTGGAATGTACTGTAATTCTTCTTCAGTGAATTTCACCAAAGCCATTGCAGGAGATTTTAGAAACTCTAAGAGCACAGCTGATTCAGGTTTCATTATTTTGTTTGTTTTTGAGCAGAGCAATATGAGTGTATGCTTCTAGTTTCAAGTCAAGTTGCAGACTGATGAAATAACAACACATTCATATTATTCATAGCTTTTTTATTTAGGCAATAAATTACATAACCAATTATATAAAGTATCGACATTGTGAAGACTGCACTGGAACTTTCTTTCACCACCACCACCTCCTTGGATATGATGCATGCATGCTGGGGTTGTGGGTTTGAATATAATCGGTGACCACCATGAACCATCAAAGTCTTCCATATTTACGATCTCGCAGCATATTTCCAATTCATCACACTTTCGCTTCAGGAACTGTATCTTTTGATGACCTCTAACATAGATCAAATCTGCTTGATGGAGGGTATCTAATAGTATTCGATTCAGCTCATCAAAGTCCACATAACCACCTGAGTAGCTCAAACCGTGGCAGTATCGTTCAACAAAGTTTGCCGTCTTCTTCTCATTTTTGCTCAAACTAGCAAACTCCACAGATGGTTTGAATAGGAAATGGCTCGTCTTTTTACCAATGCGGACTGTCAACTCTTTCGGAACGAATTCACCGACCACCAAGAAGCCTTGAATGTCGACCAGTGCGATCTGCATGATGTCTTGGAATAAACTGATGTATTGATAGGGTTGAACTTTCTGTTATCAATCAATGATTCGAACAATTTCGCTGAGTGGGAGGTGTTCCATGATTTGATCGTGAATGATGATGCAATAGGCCTTGGTGCCTGCAGGAAAACCCGTAGTTGCTTCAATCTCCAACTTGATGTCGACTGTCGATGCCTTCGGACCGAGACTTCTTCTCGAACAATCGATGACGAACATAGGATGTGTTTTGAATTCGGAAAAGTTCACCAGAGGACGCTTCTGAACACAATTTTGATAGCTTTTGTTGAATTCAGAGTAATTGAAGTGGGCATCGGCGTATTGATTGTTGGAAAAATCCAGGAGTACTCGTTCCTGCGGATAGTAGTCACCATTCAGAGCCAATCGTAAGGATTTGATGTTGGCGTGATCAAACAATGTGACATCCTCATGTATATCATCAATCTTTTTCGTTTGAAAAAAGACTACGATATATCTGGGGCTCTCCATTGCCGAACAAGTTTTCACAGACCAAACTTCGGTGGTGGAGTTTTGCGTGAGTGCTGGAAGCTCATGTAGTTCCCATTTACGAAACGCTACTATCATAGGCTCATCGGCTCGCACACGTTTCAACAATTGAAATTTGATGTCATCGTTCGGAGTGAGATGCGGTACCTTTAGAGTAATGCTGTCGATTATGATTCTGACGCTACTTTGCGTAAGAGGAGCTCCTTGGATAGAATTACTCGGCCTTTCAACAACCTTCACACTGTTGGCGTCAGTGCGTGATCGAACTAAACGAATCGACTGTTTTCCTAACGTTGCTACCTGATGATCATTGAATATGGAGAACAAATGTTTCAATGGAATGTTCATGGTGAACGTCTTATCGGCATTAAGGATGGGAGCGTTTGGGTAGTTCCACCCTGCTATTGCTAGGTGGTGTGAATCTTCAGGAGCATAACATAAATATCCTCTTACGGTACTCGTTATTCCTGGATATCGCGCTGCATCCAATTCCTTATTGCACAATTCATATGTGCAAGAATCAAAGAGATATGCGCCGGCATTGTGAGTTAAAGTGCCCGTACCACCTCCAACAACTTCTAATTTGGCTTTTACGATGAGAACACCCTCGAACATAGCGAGCCAGACATCTGCCTGATTAATAGTAATGTCTATGATGTCATTCTTCTCAAACGATTTGACGTACGGGTGATAGGTACGCCACTCCACTTTAGTGATGGATTCATCGAACCTTGGCTTGCGAAAGACGTCGAAAACTTGGGCTGTCATCGTTGACAATAAAGCCGATTGATTTGAGAAATAGGATATTGGATAATGTCAACTGTTTCTTCGAACGATGTGGATGATGACGACGCTGGTGCACGTCTGCTTTGCTGGATGACGTTCTTGAGACTGATGAAGGAGTCGGATAATCGTTCGATTTATAGGAGTAGTCAAACACTAGTCCCATCTTCCAAGTTTCCTTAATTCCAATCGGATTATTATCTCTTCACCTCTGAAATTTACCTCTCTCAAGTCCTGATCTAGTATTCGAAGCGTGATATTTGGTAGCTCCCGCCTGCTAACTATGGGTAAATGGATGAGATTCCTAGGAGTTTCGTCTATTGCGTACCCCGGATCGACTGAAACCGCAAATTCGTAGATTGTATGTGAAGGTCGATCGTTGTAAAGAGCTCCAGCAGTGACGTTGCTGTCAATGTGAATGGTTCTGACTTTGGTTATGTTAACGGGCAGATCGGAGCTGTGAATTTTATTGGCTTTCAACAATTTGTTCGAGAATCCCAACACTTGAGCGATACTATCCTTTGGTTTGAAATCAATGTCAAACCTATTGCTGGAGATCTCGCACTTCAATGTATTGTTGTTGGGTTTCAATGAGAATATATCTTCAACGTTTTTCGCAGTAGAAATACCCAATTCTTTTCGAATGAATGCTTCAATGTCCACAATGTCGTAGGAACCTTCTGGGATTTCGATGATTTTCTTTGCCTTCGACGATTGGTCTTGCAAGTAAAATTTGGATCCCTTATCGATGTTTGGTATACTGTTGTATGAGTGAAATCCTAGCAATGCTAGACCGTAGTCTGATTCTGGATCTAATTGCAGTGGTGTAAGAAAGTCTATGGAGAGCGTAGAAGTGCGACCCTTCAGCGTTAATATCAAAGACATGACTGACGTTGAACCATCTAGTTACTTGTTTTTATCGAGGAATTCCAAGCAAAGACGTCCACAATTACTTTGATTGAAATTCTGATATTGATCATTATTGTAGAAGATTTTCACATTTTCACCCAAGTATCGAGCCAATTCTTCGGGTGGTTTCAGCATTCCATAACTGTCAAAATATTCCACGACATTATCGTGTTTCTTATAAGCTACCCAATGTGTACCAGAATGATTTGAAGTATCCAAATTTATGATTGCACACTCACGACGCCAGGGACGACGTATGGGTAAAGTGTCACGCATAAAAACACCTCGAAAAAATGGTATTTTCAATTGTTTGGTATACTTTATTATTTCTGAATCGTACATGGATTTATTGGGTAGCTTGGCTACTAGTTTTTTTGCTTCTTCAAATACAGCCCGAATCCTTTAGACGTCTTGCGCAAATACAAGCCAGAACCCTGCTTTCCAATGGCTTCCATCGCTTTGTTATGCCGATGATCTTCTTCTAGTTTTTTCGCAGCATTTTTAGTATCAATGACAGTCTTTGCCACCGCTCCCGCGCCCCCTGCCAATGATCCCAGTGCTCCCAAAGCTGCAAAGATCGGAATGAGCGGGAAGATGCCTCCACTCTTCTTATTCGAATTGAACGGTATAATTCTTGGAACGCGGATCTTTTTCTTGCCTCCAGCTTTCTTGATGGCCATTCTAGCTGCTCTGAGAGCAGCCAGTGTAGATTTTTT